CGAGGACCAGCTGAACCAACCAACAAACTTGCTTGTAAAAGTAATTTATACAGTGATATCTGCTCTTTCGCTTGTGGGACGCGAAATTATATACTACGCATGCTCAACCACATTAAAGAGTGTTTAATGCGCATGTTCAACCTTATTTCGTCCCACAACCACAACCTCCCGAGGGCAATAGAAAATGGATATAAACAACATAAAAACCTCATGCATGGTCGGTCTTTCATTGGAATTCAAGAAAGACCTCCCAATGAAAGACCTCCCATTCGGTTTTTAACCTATATATAAAAAAACCCTGTTGAGAACAACTTGAGAATCTCTGCTTCGACAAACCCGTACCAATCTTCGTTAGCGCTTCTCGGTTGTATGAGCTGTTTCAAACATATTTCATCGGAATTGTTGTTGGTGAACGAATATTTAACCACTTCTCATTGATAGCATACAGTAATGCGACACTAGAATTGATACATATCAAATGCGAAAGCCCTGTTTGTTTTTATTACAACCATGGTAATTCAAACTCATTTAAAGAACAATACATATCGTAAAGTAAATTTCATTGTGGGTCAATCTATACAAATATGAACTAAGTTAGTTAGATACCTCAAACGTCGGCTCTTAGTCAGATAAATCCCTCGAGGCCTACGGCCCCTCGGGTTTGTATCTGACTAAGAGCCTCCGTTTTCGGTATCTAACTCTTACTTTTCCGAATATTGCCGGTGACACCCCATTTTTAACTGCTGCTTAGCTTTCACTTTTAATGCTGAATCTTATCCCTGAAAATTGTTTAACAAATCGTTGCGTATTGGCGTGGTACCATTTGATTGGAAACTCGCTATTGTTGTCCCTGCTCATAAAAAAGGAGACCAGGAATTTGTGGAAAATTATAGACATATATCTCTGCTCTCTCTGGTTTCGAAAGTTCTGGAACGCTGTGTCTTCAATACCATTAAAGATCATATTTTCTGTCGAATTAATCCTTGTCAACATGGTTTCCTTCCCGGGAAAAACTGTGTGACCCAACTTATCGAAGTTTTTGACAAGATAGGAAAACAACTAGATCGTGGCAAACAGATCGATGTAATTTATTTAGATATGTCAAAGGCTTTTGACAGAGTTAGCCATAAACGTCTTCTTCTTCGTCTCCGTGAATTTGGTTTTGGAGGCAACATTCTCAACTGGTTCCGCTGCTACCAACAAGATCGTCGTCAACAAACAACCATCGTCGGTGCAACATCTTTACCTGGTCAAGTAACATCAGGGGTACCTCAGGGCTCCATTCTCGGACCGGTGTTATTTTTGTTATACGAAAATGATCTCCCTTCTTCTGTGAAGAATTCATCCATTGCAACATACGCTGATGACACCAAAATCTTCAAAGAAATCCATAATATCAGTGATGCTGCAACGTTACAGGAGGACCTGAGTAATTTTGAATCAAGTTCTTCAGATATGGGTCTTCACTTAAACACTTCCAAATGTAAAGCTTTGCGGATCACCAGAAAACATCGCCAGATCAAGTGTCCATACACCTTACAAGATAGCATGTTAGAAAACGTTGAAAATGAGCGTGATCTCGGCGTATGGATATCAAACAATTTGACCTGGCGCAAACAGGTATTGGATCAATGCTCAAAAGCAAATAAAATATTGGGTTTCATCAAAAGATCAACAAGAACAATCAAGAACCGTAAAGCCCGTCGGACGCTATATATAACACTTGTTCGATCGCAAATGGGATGCGTTACACAAGTTTGGTCTCCGCAAACCATCGACCTCATCGCTCGCTTAGAACGCGTACAAAGACGTGCTTCCAAATACATTTTAGAGCTACCTTTTCTTTGTGAAAGCAGCTACACCCAAAGGCTTATTGACTTGGTCTTTTTACCTCTAAGTTATTGGCATGAATATCTAGACATGTACGGCAAATTGCGGTATCATGTGCCTCTCGGATGCAGTTGTTCCCAAACATAATGAAAACTCACGAATTACAAGATCAGTGGTTCCGAACTCCATAAACTTCCAAGTTATGAAATGTAAAACCTCTACCTACCAACAACAGACTTATACGATAAGAACAGCAAGAATATGGAACATATTACCAGGATCAATAACCGATAGATCTAACTCTCTAATAACCTTTAAAAATCTCTTAATTAAATATTACTATACCGCATTAGATAGGAATTATAATGTGGATGATCCTCGGTCGTGGAAAACAATTTGCCTGAAATGTAACCAGGCCCGGGACCTAACCAAATGTG